CAAAGTATTTTCCAGGCCTTTCCTGCACATCAAGGGGGTGGCTAAGGACAACTCTGCGAGAATCACCAAGTGAGTGCTTCAGATGGCTGCTGCTATACGTATTATGCTGGTATTCTTCATGTTCAGAGTCAAAAACATGGTATATATATATATAAGTATGTATGTATATATATATGTATTGGCTGGTTGGTGGTTGAGCCCTACCCTCTGAAAAATCTGAGTGCGTCAGTTGGGATGATGACATTCCGAAACCACCAACCAGAGGTATATATTGGATACTGTCTTCCATACCATCATGAGTTGAGCCATTCAACATACCCCTATCCCATCTCATGAAATACTGGTTGGTTGAAAACGGTTTCCCAATGATTTTTTCCGGTAATATAATCCCCAACAAATTCAACCATGGTATTTTTAAAAGCGAGCCGTTGGGGAGCCCGAAATACCAGTGATAAGTCAGTGAAATCGCCCCATTTCTATGGGAATTTCGTCACCCCATTATTTCACCATAGAAATAACCGCTATATATAACTGGTATTTCGGGCAACTGTAGCATCATTCGATGGGGAATCCAAGAATAATCTGGTTGGTGGTTTCAACCTACCCCTCTGAAAAATGATGGAGTTCGTCAATGGGAAGGATTATCCCATATCCTATGGAAAATAAAATTCATGTTTGAGACCCTGAGTATATATTTGGTTTCTAACCCCTAACTATAGTCATTAAGAACCATAAACCCCTAGTTATTGTAGTTAAGTAGCACCAACCATGTTTGAAACCACCAACCAGACATGATGGAAATCACCACTGCCCAAGGTGGTGCCTCAGTTCGGAATCGCGAGATGTTGATGCACATAACTAGGGTATACCCAGGGTTGAAAAAGGGGAAATAGCTATAGTAATGCTATAGTTAGATGACATTCCCCAGAGGTTAACATAGCTTGGTTGTTAGATGACATTCTCACCATAGGTTAACCAGATAGCTTTTTTGAGTTCGTCAAATGGGATGATGACATTCCCAATATATGGAAACAAACATAAAATTCCATGGTTCCAGTCACCACCAACCAGCTATAGTTTGATGGGGATGTATTTCACGCACATGCAATTTGGCAATGACAGACTCTCTGATGGACATTCATAACGATAGAATATGCAATAATCATTCAGGACGATATACACATGTATAAATATATATATATAATATATATATATATATAATTCTATTATACAAATACAGATAGATTTGGAGGTTTCCTTTCTGTCATGAGGTTCCCCTCATTCATCCTCCAATCCTCCAAGGTTAAAATGGATGACCATGACCCCAAGGAAACTTGATCACAATCTTTTTCACCATCATGGTGACTTGATGAAATCCCATTTTTTTCTCCCAAGATTCTCCAAGGGTGTCACAGTATTCCAACTTTTCCGCACAAGATCACAGTCGCAACATTCCCGAAAACCCAATCTGACATGGTCTCCCAATATCCCAAGAATCTCCAAAAAAAAACCACCATGATCCCCATGATGATCCCATGATGTTTACAGTAAACCTGCTTGGTGGTGCTGGCTGTGCAATTTCACCATCTTCCATAACTCATGGACTGAGTTCGTCACTGGGAAGCAAGGATGACATCCCATAACTCATGGACGTCCATAAAACATCTTTGAAACCACCAGAAACCATCTCTAGCCATGCCATGGAGACTGGAGATCCACCGGAGGATCCACCAGGCATCACCACCCGTACCGACCCGTACAACGCCGTATCCCGCCTCTCAAAGACCTGACTGGTACATGCGAAGAGACCCGCCTCTCGCGCGGCGAGTGTTCGCCAGCCGAATATACAAAGTGGGGCCCCCGTTGGATAGCTAAGTTGGCGTATAAAAACACTAACTTTTTGGTTTAATGATATTGAAACCTATAGTTAATGGGGGTTATAAACCAACTTAAAACTAGCGGGGGGCAGATTGCATGTTATAGCCACAAAATCGGAAATCTTATGGTAATAAATATAGATGTAAGTACAATGATTAAGATTGAGCATCAAATTTCGGGGTATATCAATGGTATATCAAACACCCCCCCTTGTTGTGGAAGATTTTCTTGAACGCTTGGCTTCATTTAAAGACAGACCCCACATATGTAACTGGTTTGTTATGTGGTTCTTACATGTTATCCACTTACGATTCCTGGTGTGCACCCAAAAGGAAGGGGGGCGGTAGTACATCAGGCACGCCAGGCACGCACTGTTTTTGCGACTTCACAATCTCGATTCCTAGGCATCCATCATCCAACCAAGTTTGAAACCAACTTGAGAAACACCACCCGAAAGTGGCGTTAAGTGTCTGAATTTCGGTGATCAACATATTCTTCTGTTAAAGTCATTTACCAGTTATAAATGCTTATTTCTATGGGAATATCATTCCATGAATGCAGAATTTCACCTGACTCAAATAACTCAAATAACTGTTGTTTCGGGCCTTTTAAAACGTCGCTGATTGAACAACTGTAGCGATTTCTCACGGCGCAGCTGCTGGTTCTTTCATAGGTTGAATCCTGGAACACGGTTCCGTGCTGAGGTCATTTGACCCATCCGAGAGGTGGGCATCATGGGTCCTGCTCCCGGGAAAATGAAGGGCTGGTAGAGTTGTCTCCCCTGTTTTTATGGCCAGAAATAGCAATGATAAATGGTGAAATCACTCACTCAAAAAACTAGGTTATGTAACTATGGGATTATACATCAACCATAAATGTTGGGTTTTGTTGGTACTTAGAACTGGTATTTCCGGCCATAACTGTTCTGACTGGGATGATTATGGCATTGGGATTTATCAATCTCCTTTACAGTCATTGACCCATGCCCAACTCACGGCATTTCAGAATTTTAAAATCCCACGACTGGTCCGACTAAAAACTCTTAAAGAGTGTAGTCGCACTGGCTCCGCGGTCGTGAAGCAGCGAACTCGAGGGGGTGATCTGAAAGGACTTCGCAGATCAGTGTGTTTCTGCCCACAAAAAATTGAAACACACATTTTAGTGTATAGTGTGTGTTTCTAACGAATTTGAACAGAATTGAAAAAACCATCACATAATCTCAACATCGTGGTCTTTTTTGGGCGAAGCATTGGTCATGGGATGAGATTGGTCATGGGATCGGCCCCACGGCAGTGGATCGGTACGCCTAGTACGTACCCTCTGTATATATATATATATATTTAATGGTGGTTTAATGGTGGTTTAATGGGGTTTAACCAACAAAATGGTGGTTTTAATGGGATATACCCTCTGGTAATGACTAACAGTTTGCTATTGAAACTTGCCATTGAAATAGTTGATTTATCCATGAATAGCATGGTGATGTTCCATGGTTATGTTAGTTTACCAGGTAGTGAAGTCACTCAAAAGTCACCAAAACTCCAATTCCCATCGTTGCAGTGGCGTCGAGGTCAAAACGTTGGTTTTATTAAGGCAAATTGAAGACATGTAAACAGAGCAAATCCAAGCGGTGATGATGAACAGCCACCATCCACCCCAGGGTCAATCAAAAATACGCGGCTAGTGGAGGCATGTGGAGGTCATAATTGAGGGGAAGGAACAAGGTGGTCCCCCTCGAGCTTTCTCGGATATCTGTAGGAATTCATGATGGGTTATATATATATATATATATATGTGCTATAAGAAGCTTATATACGAGCGCATGATGGAAGTCTTGTTGATAAACCCATCTATCAAACGAGTTATCTCACTATCTCATTCCCCATCTATCGAACTAGTATATCCACATATATAAATCAAAGAGTCCTTGTGTGTGTTTTTTGTTAACCAACAGGAAGCTCCTTTTTTGGCCACCCTCTCGCAATGCAGCACTGTACCAGACTTTGTTTCGGTGATGATTCGAAGGACCTGGCAACATGGAAGAAATCCTGCACCAGTTGGTAACCTAACGGCCCTAACGAACTGGAAAAAATCACCATGCTTTTCAAGGGAAAATTCACTATTTCTATGGCCATGTTCAATAGGAAACTGTTGAATTACCAGTTGGTAGGTGATTTTTGACAGGTTTCATAGTTACCATTCGTTACCAACTGCTGCAGGATTTTGTTCATCCACTTTTTTAAGTCAAAGCCCCCATTCTATGGCCCTGAATATGTGATTTTATCTCCTACAGAATTGCTGATATTGGGAGTGTTTAACATGATGGGGATGATATTCCTTTTTGTTGGATAGTTCAAGTTGTATGGTTCCAAGCTTGATGGCATTTTGGATCACAGTCGGCTTGTACTAGCTTGTCATGCTTTGGTGACTGGTTTAAGTGGATGACTCATATGAATTTCAACATGATTCACCTTGATTTCATTAGTTTTTAGCTAATTCTACGTAGAGAATGCTACGCAATTTACCTGTTTCAAACTTAATAATACACCCCTGCTCATGTTTCCATATGTTTCCATGGAATTCAGATTATGATCAACTCCAAACATCCAAAAAGGCCACCAACAATAGAAAGAAATCTACAACTGGGTGGAACGAGAAATCTACAACTGGTTGTTTTTTTGCAATAGGCATCTTGAAACATCATGGAGTTCGTCAATGGGAAGGATGACATCCCATATATGAAATGGAAAATAACATTCATGTTCCAAACCACCAACCAGACAAGGAACCATGGCTTTAAACAAAGCTATGATTGTGACGGCACAACCGGTTTCCTCTAAACTTTTGCGAGGAAGCCACATGTCCATCTCATCGGCACCGAAGGCGGCCACACCACAGCAGAACAACATACATATTTTTGAAGGTGGTGTCGCATGGCTTTTTCGAATAACCTTTTAGTCATTCGACGGTGGCATGGATCGCATGGATCAAGTTTCTTCACATCCCTTAAATTTGGCTGATTTTGGACACGGATCTGGGTAAATTATAATATTTCACTAACCTGAAATGTTTGGCTATTTGGGGATAATTTCCCTTACTAAGCATGATGGATCTACAAGATTCTACAACGTTTGAACTTTTCCGTCATTTGGATCCTCGCTCACAGACTGCACGTCATGATCTTTCTGCTCACCTGCAGTCAGACAGTCACCAGTCTGTCAAATTTGATTGACTTTAGGCTTAAATTCCCCAAGAATGTTGTTGCTTCAAGCCTAACATGAATGTATGGATAATTGTGATTCAGCATCATTATACAAATATATATATATATATATGCACATATCGTGTATATATATATATATATATTAATATGTTATAATAAGAAAATAGGATATATTTATATATACAATATCTTTTGAAGAATGTGTTGAGCCTGAGCCTGAGAATCATCGGCTATTCTATCGATCTTGGGCCCACAATCGCGATCGAAGTGACTGATGCCATGTCCAGTGGCAGTTGCAAGGTGATAACCTACAGTTACAGGCTATTGGAGATCTATACATGGCCAGATTCACAGTTATCATTATCACTGGCGAGCAGAAAAAATTGAAAGCCCCATTCAAGTGATAGATAATAAACGAGCTATTTCATCCCATCTATAAGTGTTAAGGGCCATAACTGCAGGAATGTATGACGGATTTACGGTGGATATATCTACAATTCAAATTGGTTATACAAGCTAAGTTGGTACAAGTATACTTGAGGCCGGGGGTGGATGACCAAAGCTAGCGGGGCAGGAGAAAGAAGGAAGGGAAGAGGTGAGTTGCGGAGGGACTGCCAGCATCGTGTCGCGGCATTGTTCGTCCCAACGAGGATGCAACAATGATATATTGATATATGATATATAACAATGATATATATGGGGGAGGGGGCAGGGGGGGCCCTTTCGCGGGAAAAATCACGTGATGTCCTTGGGGAGCCCCGGAATACGTGCTAAAGCAAGAAGACTCTAGCGAGCTGACGCTAGCTTTCGTGATAATGACAATAATTGCCAATAATGATAAAATGTAATTGAATAACGATGATGATGACGATGATGATGATGATGATGATGATTGATGAATGATGAATGATGAATGATGAATGATGAATGATGAATGATGATGATGATGATGATGATGATGATGACGATGACGATGACGATGACGAGGACGATGACGAGGACGACAATGATGATGATGATGATGATGATGATGATGACGAGGATGATGATGATGATGATGACGATGATGATGACGATGACGATGACGAGGACGATGGTGATGATGATGATGATGATGATGATGACGATGACGAGGACGATGGAGGAGGACGATGATGATGACGATGATGATGACGATTATGATGATGACGATGACGAGGACGAGGACGATGGCGAGGACGATGACGATGATGATGATGATGATGATGATGGTGATGGTGTGGTGGTGATGGTGGTGGTGGTGGTGGGGGGGGGAGGGGGTGAAGAGGGGCCCTAGCGTCTACTTCAAGATCAGCTAAGGCATCTTCCCCAATGACAGCACTCTTTTACTCTCAGCCTGTTGCCGGTCAGTGCTTGTCTACAGGGTTACTCTATATACCTCTTGAGCCTTGAAGGGCGCATATAAATGTGCTCAATACTCATGCATGTACCTATGTAGGTATTAGGTTGAAACAAAAACACAGGCACAAATTCAAAAGCAATGAGTAGAGCACTACGCCTTGCCGTACCCAATTGGTATTAAGAGTATCTTCCTGACTTCTCTACACGATGGCAAATAGCAAAAGAAACCGGAGTTACGCAGTGGCTTCGAATTGAAAAACACGTGAAAGCAGCGAATGTCCTAAGGACATGTCGAAAAAGAACAGCGGATTCGCTAAATTTTTCCAGTAGTGACCAATGGTGCTTCGCGCACGGTCTCTCCACAGGCAAAATGCCTCGCTCTACCGGTGAAAGTTCGAATTGAAAAGTTCGGGTTCGCAAGATTCAGAAATTCAGGTCATACGAAAACAATTGACCAAATCACGAAATAAACGGAAATAGCGGATCTCCAAAGTTGCTCATTCAAGCAAACAATGGACTGAAATCGAAGTTGGTAAATTTTTGAAGTTCGCTCCATTCGGAGTGGTCTGCTCGCCGGATGATTCATGGAGATAAATGTATATAGTATCTCTATTTACAAGAGTCTCTATTTTACATTAAATTGAAGTTCAGACACTTGTGGCATTATCTCTATCTAAAAGAGTATATGCCATCTGTGTGAAATAAGTTGAACGCACAGAAAAACTGCACACGGCTTTTCATGCTGTGTTATCTTCATTTAAAGAAGTGTACACTCATTCATCGCCACTCACTTGATCTCCATGGTCTGGACGCTGAAGAGGAGGATCCACCCCACTCTGTGTTGCCCTGATACGTCGATGCTTGATCTTCATATGCCTTTCTCTTTTTCTCCTTCTGTCTTTCCTTTCTTGAATCAGCATACTGCTTCTTCTTGTAGGCCTGTTTGTAATGATGTCGTTCATTCTATGACATATCAGAAGGATCAAGATGGATAAGAATTGGATTATGAGCATCGCGATCATTTGGAGCAACCATGAAGATGTTGTGATCACCATGTAAGCAAGTTTCATTTACCTTGAAGTAAAATTCACCCACATAGTTCATGTGATCTTCATCCTCAAAGTCTTCTGGGTGTTCCTCACACATCAAACGTGAATGACCCCACTCAACAACTGTTAACATACAACAATCACCTTTACCAGTTGTCTTCTTCATGATCTCGTCGGTGTATGTTGCTGTTGTAATGCCATCCAAGTGCGTTGCAAGAAAATCCAAGTCACGATAACTGCAAGGAATGAAATGCTTGACCCTGATTGGAGGGCAAGTTGGATCAAAATTCTTGCGCATGGCTTGTGTTGCAACACCTACCATTCTGTTAATCCAGAATTGGATAAGGCTGTGTTGATATGTAGGGACACCTGGAGATTTTGGTGTGCTGTAATAGCATGCCTTGTTTCCATCACCTGCGATGAAGTCAACTTGATATCTGGCACACTCAAAAGCCATAACAGCTAAGCACTCACCAACAATCCCAGCAGAGTCTGATGCATACTCCTGTCCGACGTGATAAACGCACACACGTGTCATTCTCATCCTAGCTCTTGTCAAGTCAACAATCTCATCTGTATCTCGATCCTTTGTCTTTCCCCAAGATACTTCAAAGATTGCCCATGAGACTTGTCGAACTCGTGTGTCGTTGTCATCTGTGTGATATCCAGCAATTTGCTTGATATAGCCATCCTTTCCAAGGCGAGCTGCCACCATCAAAGTCATGATAGTCATTGAAGCAAGTTTTAAAGTCAACCTCGTCGAGTCTTTCTCTGTGAGGATACAACGAACCAGCCTCGCAATTCATGAAAAGATGTCCTCCAAAGTTCTTGATGACATTGATGAAGTAATTGTTGAACTGTGATTTGGTTTCATCAAATTTTTCATGATCCTCATCGATAGTGTAGTCAATGTGTGGAATGAATTGTTGAAATCTTTCTGGAACCGGGCATTTTTCAAATCTGTTTCTGCACCAGTTTCCCAAATTCCAGAACATTGCTGTTATCTGTGGAGAGGATCTGTATGGAAATTCAGCATCCTTGTACGTTGGGTCTGATAGGCCTCCACCTAAGTACCTGTAAGCCAAGCTATGCAAGATCATACAGTAAGGCAAGACCTTGTGTTCCTCAACGTAATCTTGGAGTACCTTTGTGAGATTTCCAAAATCGTCATCAATCCTCTGTTCTGCTTCTTTTGAGGATCTTTCTGCCTTGTCTTGATGAAGAGGATGCATCCTTGGATCACTACAACCATATTCAATGCGCTGATTAAGTTCTTGTAATTCTAGTTGTGGATCCTGATTCTTGTGTCTGGCAATGTACTCAACCATCAACTGGTCATCTGTAAGATGGTACCAAAAATCATGATGTGGAGACATGGTCTTCCTGTACTTAACATGCCAAAACATATGTCGATGCTTCGAAGACGCTGGATAACCTTTGTTGTAAAATCCTGCCCATTCACCATGGTAACCATCTGAAAAACAATCCTTCAATCTTCGAAAAACTGAATCATCTTCGTTTCCAGTGATATCTTGACCATAGTAAAGTCGAACTGCAGGTTTCACTTCAGGAGCTGTCTCATCATCTTGAATGTCTGTCTTCTTCTCCCCTGATTCCTCCTTTTCTGAGGAGCGTTCAGGTGGAGCTGATTCCTCTTTCTCTGAAGAGCCTTCAGCTGGGACATGTGGCTCCTGTGTGTCTTTTCCTTCTTCTTTTTCTTCGTCAGCAATCTTCTCTTCTTCATCCTTTTCTTTCTCTTGTCCTTCTTCTGGTTTGACAAAACTTTCCTTGATCTTTCGTTGAACATTCTGATTGCACATACTGATCCATTTCAATGTACACTCAACCAATTTGTCATCATCAGTTTCCAAAATGATATGTTTGTCCTCAATGTTCAAACTTTCAATGGTATGCTTGTACTCAGGATCACCTGCGCCTGGTCTTTGAAGATCTGGAAGTGGAGTGTCTGGATCATCGTCCACCATATGAGGATCCTCTGCTCCAAAGAAATTTTCTGCGCCAAGGTGTTCATTGTCCTTGAGAACTTGGTCAATATCCAGTTTAAACTCATAGTACTTGTCGTAAGAGATCTCATAACCCATCATAGGTGCATACTGCTCCATAAATGTTGAAAAGGAAGCATCTGATAATGCTGACATCATCAACCATAATGAGAAGAAGCTTATGTCACCACGTTCAAGGGGTTGACCTCCTTCAAGATCATCTCCTGTGAGGACTGATTGGCCTGCGAGTGTAATATCATGGAGGATCTGTCTGTGCTCTGGTTTGAGTTGCCTGACTAAGAACAGTCCCTGTCGATCTTCCATATTTCTTCGAGGATTTGCATCAGGTAATACCTCACTTTCTTGTTGTGGTTGTGTTTCCTCTCTTTCTTGAGAGCATACACCTTCTTCCTCTCTTTCCTGAGAGCCTGATGCCTTTTCCTCCTCTTTCCTGACAAAAACTTGTAGTCTTGGCAAAAACTCCAAATCATCTTCAGCATCATCATCATCGTGACCTTCCATGTCCACATTCTGTTGC